GGGCACGAAGCGCTGGGACCAGGGAGGGGCTTGGGGCGTGGGGTGGGATGGGGGGAGCCTGGAGGGACCCCCTCCTGCCCGCAGTGCAAGGGGGGGGCAGCGCCCTACTTCCCTGCCAGGGCCGGGGGCTCTGCAGCTGCTGGGGGCTCCCTACGCCCCCCTCCCTGCCAGCGGCTGGCACATCCCCTGTGCTCGCCGCCCTCCAGGCTGGCTGCAGGCAGGGATGATTATGACGTGATCATTCCCCTGCTCTTTTTTTTTTTTTAATTTAAAGGGGGGGTAGTTTGCACCCCCTGGCAGCTGGGCTCGGGGCTGCAGAGGCACGTGGGGCTTGCCAGGCGCTCCCCCCTCTGCCGCCGCAGCCCGGGGGCTGCCGGCCGGGCTCGGGCAGGCGGTGCAATTGCGGTCCTGGCCCTTTAAGTGAAATGCCCGGCGCCGCCGCCCGGAGCAGGTTGTCTGCAGCGCCCTCTGTCGGCCCGCGGGGAAACGGCGCCTGCCGCCGGGCCTGCTGGCTGGGGCGCTTTGCAGCGGAGGGCAGGGCCGATTTGCACCTTGTAGACTAACCGGAGAAAGTTAGGGCTGGAAGGGACCTCGCATCTAGTCCACCCCCCCTTGCTCAAAGCGGGGCCTGCCCCAATGAGATCATCCCACCCAAGGCTCTTAAAAAGCTCCAAGGATGGAGAGTCCCTGTGTTTTAGGCTGTGAAAATAAAAACTTGCACCCATTGTGTATATGCAAAAGTGTTTTGCATGCTAAAGGCATTCACAGGTTCCAGTTAAGCTGTGAGAGTCTCCATCGATCCACTCAGGGGAGAAAACATGCCCATCGGTGTTGCTTAGAATCAGAGGAGAATATATGAACGGGCACGTTCTTCCTCCTCTTACTCAGGGAATTTGCCCTTGCGTTCCTTTGAATCACACGTGCATGGGCTGCTGACGAGAGCAAATGATGCTGACCTTCTCTGATTTAGAAAGCCATCGCCAGTGCCATAGGAGGGTGGGGGGTGCAGGGAGACTGCCCCGGGTGCCGAAGCGAAGGGGTGCCAACACGCGCTGCCCAGCCAGGGATGGAGCCGTGAGTGACTTGTTGGAGGGGGCGCAGGGATGGGAGGAAGGTGGCTCCCAGCACTGCGTGCATTCCCAGGTACATGTGCCCCCCAGATCTGTGCACGGGGCAAGGGTGAGCTGCCACTGGGGGCTTTGCCCCTGGTGCCAAACTTCCTTGCCATGGCACTGGCTGTCATGTATTACATTAATAACTCCAGGAAGTGTTCCCCATGGCAAATGCCCTAATGTGTTTAGAATAAGACACCTCCAGCTTTCTGGTGAAAAGAGACTTGCCTTGAAGATCAAGGAGATGGCATGAGCTTTCCTGAGCTGGAGCTCACTTTATCAGATGCTGTGAAAGGAGGAGCAGAAAGCAGAGTGCAAGAAGGAGGTGGACATTTGTATACAAAAGACAAGGAATGGGGGAGAAAGAGATGAGAGGGGAAAGGGGGCGGTGCTGGGAGAGACAAGCAAACAAGCAGTAACCCCTAGAAACACAAGTAATGTGTTATGAATCCCTGGTCCCTGTTTAAACCATGCTTAACACAATCCAGTCTGTGGGCAATTTCTTGTTCTGCAATTTCTCCTATTCAGATCCATTCTGAAAAGCTTGCTGTCCAATAAAGCCACCATCCCAGGACATAGTATCCTGAGAGGTTAAAGTGTTCTGCCACTGGCATGCATGTCTTTCTGCAGCTGGAAAGTTTGGTTTAAAAGGGGCTTTTAAATCAAAGTGCAGCCAGCTTGGGAGCCCAGGTGGGTGATCCCTTTCTTTTCCTGAGCAGAGGCAACTCAGGCTGCAAAGGGACCTGTGGGCTCCCAGGAGTCTGAAACAAGATGATGTTGCAACATGCCCGCTGTGTGTTGCACCAGGCACAAACTGAGGCAGCCCCTACCCCAAAGCGCCTACAAGCTCCAGGCCCCTTCCTGCAGTAGGTGCCTGGTAGCACAGGGCTTTGCTGACCTTGCTGCAACTCTGCACTGGTAACTGGAAGTCTTACTATGACTCTCATTGCTCTTTAAGGCTTCATTGGACAAACCAAGGCATGAATGACTCTTCTTGGATGACTGTTCTTGCCTAGCCTTCTCTCCCGATGGGCCTGGCTCTGATCTCTCTTACTTCAGCTTACACCTGTGCAACTGGATCAGCGTCTGCAGAGATATTCTTGATTTTAAATGGAGGTGTAACTAAAGCCCCTTCAATGAGAATGGAAGCATGACATAAGCCACTTGTGCTTCAGTGTTTGCAAGACTAGGGCCAAAAGCAGAAAAACAAGAAGATGGGTCACATCAGACAGCTGACAGGAGGATGTAAATTGTATATGCCACGTGTGTGTGTGTACAGAGGATTTTCACACAAATGGGGATTTTCCTCTCTTGATCCTTACCAGCCACTTGTCTTGTTTCTAATAAAGAAAACTTAATAAATACTTGTAAATGAAGAGGGAGACAAGGTGTTGTCTTGTTTCTGTTTTTCATGCTTATTTTAAAACCATTCCCATATTGCATAATCCTTATGCAACATGCTGCTGTCCTGCTATTATAAGCCATGCTAAAGACTGTCCTCAGGCCAGACTCTGCAGAGTGTACAAGTCCTATGGGACCCTGGGCATCCTCTACTCCAATTCTGTCTTCTGTGCAAGCTGAGGTTATGTCACACTCCTATCCTGAAGCTCTGCACCAAAGAGCTCTTTATTGTTGCCAGTGTTTGTGTATTGCTGCCTTAGGGGACAGCCCTATTAGTCTTGAAAATGTAGAGCCCTCCTGTCAATCTTCATAGAAACAGACTTCCACCTTCAGCTTCCTCTGTGCAGAAATGAAGTTTATTTTCTATCTATGGGGACTTTGCCACTTTTAATTTTCCCTGAACCTGAGGACGGGTGAGTGTGCCCAAAAGCTTGCAGAAAAAGATTTTTTTTGTGTGTGATTTATTAGTTGGCCTAATAAAAGATATCATCTCTGAATCAAGAATTGTAGAGTTTTCTTTTTGTCTTTCTTTTTGTCTCAGACCAACATGGCTACCAAATACATCCTTGATATCCCTGCTATAGGATTCTGGAGGATTGCTTGTGAAAACCTTTGAGAAAGAGATGCCAGGTTTGGGGTGAGGAGAGAAATTTCCTGCAAGGTCAGATCGGCAATTGTGGGGTTTGTTTCTTTTTTGCCTGTAGCATGGGGCATGGGCCTCTTCCTTGGACCTATGTTAACCTGAATCAATGTTAACCTAACGCATTCCCTGCCCTTGTACCCCATTGGTAGTGCCCTGGTCTCCCTGTCCTTTACCTGTGGCACACTGTAGATTTTTCTCTCTCTTATTTTATATTCATTTTGTGTCTGTGGTGTGCTGGGGGCATTGGATCGGATGATCTTGTGGAATCCTTGGGCTAAATGCCCTGGGAAGGCCCTTGCGGGTTTATGTTGCTAGTTTCTTTTAAATTCCATAAATGTTTAAAGTAATTTCTATAGAATTGCATTAAATTTCTTTACAGTCCAGTAGACTTCCCTCTTATTCCATCACATAGGCCTTTCTAAAAGAATAAATTTTTTGGACTAAGATGTAGAGAGGTTTGCATTTCACATTACTGTTACATCCTCTCTCTCCTCAGATTATGGACTCAATAACAGAGTCCAAATGCAGATAATTCTCCCAATTGACTTCAGCAGCCTTATGTTTCTTTCAGGAGAAAATCCCCTGGACTCTGACTGTGGCACCATGTATCTATCAAGGATTGAAAAACTCCTACATAATTTACGCAGAGGCTCAAACCTGAGATTAAAGTTCATGTTGCAACTTAAGTGGAATGTCAAGGTCAGCATATTTATTTGCTTCTACTGTCCGAATGGGAGGAACCTAAGACATTTTGGTTGCTGTTAATCACAGTGGACAAAAGCCATTAATGTGTGGAGGCTTTCTTTTTTGCACAATAGAGCAAACTGATGCCAGTATCTAACAGACAGGTATACTCTCAGTGTAAATCAGATAGCACGCCAGTACATATAGTAACAGGAATGTATTTGGGGTGCTATTCTTACCTTGGCAACAGTTCCTATTGGAAAGGCAAGATGGTCAGGATTGAGGTATGGTGCCTATCCGACTGTCAGAGAGAGAGCTCCAGTGTTCAGGTATTACCTCCTGGAACTGCAAAAGGCAGAGCTTGCAATCATTATTCATGCAAGACTCCTACACAAGTCTTGGGCCCCAGGTGACACTGAAGTTGGGGTGTGAAAGTAATGGAGGTCTGAGCCCAATATTTCAGCCCAGAGGCAGCTGAAAAAGCATCCAGAGAATAAACAGCACAACTGTGAATGATTCATCTCCAGGGGGGACGGAAGAGCCAATGGGACAGCCCAGCGCGAGGAGGTGTGTCACCTGTCCTGTCTGTGCTCACAGCTGGGGAGACCTGTTTGCAGAAGCCATCAGGCGGGTTGTTTCATTGGAGATCATCTCAGAGCTGCTGCTGTTCCCAAGTGCTTCTCCCTCCTCACTCTCCTGAACCCACTTTTCCTCCATCTCTTGTCTCCCCAGCAGGTATGTCCAGCCTGAAGGAAATCTGCAGTGGCCTCCCACTGCACCCCGTGCCTGAAAACAGAGGTCGAAAGAGAGGAATTCCACACGCGCCTGTGAGGACCCCCAACCTTACCGCTCAGGAGGAGAAGGTAATGCAGCTGTCTGCAGGGCTAGGCCTCCCATCTCCCTCAGATCCTCTTTGGTCAAAGCAGCAGAGCTGGTGCCCCAAATGCTTCACCAGGTGTGAGCTACCTAAGCTCTTGGCAATTAAATAAATATAATATCTCTGACATGGCAGAGGGACACAGCCATGGGGGCTCTTCTGCTTTTTATTCCAGGAATCCTCCCCCAAAGATCAGGTCAGACACTTTGGTGCCTAAACCAGGGACTTTAGGCTCCATCACTGTCCACCCAGCACCTTTCACCTAGTACTCTGTTAAGAACAGGCTAGCCCAGCATAAAGTATGGAAAGTCAACACCTTGCTACAAATCTCTGCCATGGATATATTTTATTTTTTGCTTATAAGATTTGACAGGGAAAATATTTGTGAAAATGTAGTCAGAAACAGGATGGCATGGGGACACAGACCTCAAGACTTTGGGTTAATTATTTGTTTGTGGTTGGGCAATGTCCGTTGTTTGACCAGGCATGCTATACTGTTAAGTAATCATGACTCGTGGTTCATAGTTGAGGTTTTTTGTTTTTGTTTTTAATTTTAACACCAAAAGTTTAAATTAAAAATGAAGGGTCAAAGGGTGAAGTTACTAGGAATCTAAGACAAGGGCAGCAAGATGGGTTTCTGAGTGGTTTGAAAAGCTGTGTTTCATCAGATAATGTTAGCAATCAGAATAGAAGATGGTACTTTTCCCCCCACATGGGGGATATGTAGGAACATATTCATGACTAAGTGGCACACTCCACTGGCACCAGTGGAATCATATTGTGCTTATGGCAGTGATGAGTTGGCATGTGGAGTCAAGCTAAGAGGAGCCACAATAGTTAAAACCCATCAGGGCTGAGGGTGCATAAAACTAAACTCTTTCTCATGTCCCCATCCCTACTCCATGGGATGGGAACCCCCACTTTTACAGACTGGGACTCCATGGGCACTGGCTTAGCAAGAGGGGCACTGCCATGAGCTATATCCACTGAGGATTTAATGTTGCTCTATGGATCAGCCACTGCTGAGGAGTCCTCTTTGGCTATTATAACACAGCCTTATGGAAGTGAATGGCAGTATTGCTTGAAAGACCCCTGCTTCGTGTAAAGGGAAAAGCAACAGCACAGCTGTACAGAGACATAAAAAATCTGCAGCTATTCTAAAATCAGTGTGTGAACCTACAGAGGGGGGCTAACCCCCCTCGCTCTAGCATGAGAGAGTCCTCCCCCTTTCTTCCCTGTGAAACGGTAAGGAATATACTGCTCATGCAGTTTCTTGCCCACTATAATCCCACAAGGAGAAGAACATCAATTGTGTTGTCCACAGCATTTTCCCAGACCAGAAATGTTATGGAAACTGTCTTAGACCCTGTTTGGTTTCGAGCATCCCACTCTTCCCTCCTTATCAACCACATGTAATAAAAGGTCATGCTGGTTGTAAAGGTATTTTTTTTATTGGCTTGTTAAAGACTTAAAAGCTTCCTTTCTGATTTTATTTTATTCTTAATCCTCCACCTTAAAGTCTTAACAGGTTTAAAGTTCCAGCTGGTATTTATTTTATATCTAAAAATCCAAATCTCTTTTTAAGATGCCTTCCATGCTAAGTCTACACAGGGTTTTCAAAACCTTGAGACTCGATTTCAGCTTTGATCAGCAATGCAGAATGCTAAAACTTTTGGAAGATTTTTTTTCTGTATATAGGATGATGTGTCTATTATGTAATTTAAATGGATAATGAGCAAAGTAAAAAATAGGATGTGCCAAATCCTCAGCTGGGGCAAAATTAGTGGGACTCTGTTGATTTTCACCAGCTGAGAATCTGGTCTTGTATGTTTATATCCCTTTGCTCTAATTTTTCTATATTTGCAGTAATAATTCTCAGCCATTTCATTGTTAAGTTTTTGTCGTGCCTCTGTTTCTGGTAATAATGTAAATGTATGAAGTAAGATTTATAAAGATCCAGGTATTTGGGGGCTTGCTGAAGAGAGATGCAATTCTGTATGCCATGTCATCATTAATCTCCTTGGATCAACCAAACCATTTTTGAAAACCTATTTCATCTGTAAGTTGCCTGAGTTCTCTTCTTCCACTTCCACTGCCTACGGCTTGAGAGAGCCTTATCTTCTGTCTTTCCTCTCCATCTCGGGAACCTCAAGCTTTCTGTTTTTCAGCATCCATTTCTTGACCTGAATATTTTGCAAATAGGATGCCCCTAAAACTTGCATTAATTGTGTGTATTCCAAAGTGTTTTGCATGCTAAAGGCATTCACAGATTCCAGTTACGTTGTGAGAGGCTATATCTATCCACTCAGAGGAGAAAATATGCCCATCGGTGTTGCTTAGAATCAGAGGAGAGAATATATGAACTGGCACGTTCTTCCTCCTCTTACTCAGGGAATTTGCCCTTGTGTTCCCTTGAATCACATGTGCATGGGCCACTGACAAGAACAAGTGATACTAACTTTTTGTGATTGAGTTAATGCAGCTAGAGGAGAGCAAGATGGATTTCTATTCAGATTCATGCTTCAACATCATCAGCTAACTTCTAGTTGGATTATTTTTGCTAGAGGTTTCAACATAAAAGGGCATGAGCCAAAAATTTCAAGAATAGAAGCCTAAAGGACACCTTTGCAAAATTGCTGAGTATCTAGCAGCTCTCGCTGAGCCTAGGGCAGGAGAAGGAAGACATGTAGCTCTGGTAGCTGCTGGCACTTTTGAAAATCAGGCTTCTGATGCTACATCCTAATATGGATTGAGGACGCTCACTCTAGGCAGATGGCTTTGAAAGTCCTGGCCACAAAGAACCCAGTTAGACTTTGAGAGCTCATGTACATGAATGGACAGGCAGAAAGATCCTCTTTCACTCCTAAACTGAGATCATCTGAATTGAATGCTACTGAAGGAGGATCATTTAAAAAAAGACAATTCCATTTTTACAATCCCTTTTCAGAGACTAGTTCCACTAAAAATTCCTGGCCTTAGAATCACTAGACAAAAGAAGACAGATGGGACAGATGAAATGTTCATCTCGTGGTTAAAAATACAGAACAGGGACTGAAGGAATCGTGCCTTTGGGACAGTCAGTTCCCCTCTGTGTGCCTCAGTTTCCTACAAATAAATTAGGGCTGTGAAGCTTCCTTTTTATGTTTGTAAAGTGCTTTGAGACCCTCAAATGGAAAGGTCTGATAGCATTGTTATAAAATGGAATTGAGTCCTTTCATATGAATCCTGACCCAGTCAATGGTTTTAAGGAGAGAGGTAAGGAAACTCATTTAGAGAAACAAAGACTCTGATATTTCTGGTTTCTCAAGCGTCCCATGACAAAGATATAAGTAGCTGATGAAGTGTAGTGGGATTTACTGCATTCTTTTGGCTGCATCCTGCTCCCCCCAGAAGTCAGGACCAAGCTTTGCTTTGAATGTAACAGCCCTACTAGTTCTATCGAGCAAAAAACAAGAAGTATGCTAAAAATGGTAGAGAAATGTTAGTTCTGATCCACCAGAAGCATTTTGTATCAAGTACAAGTTGAAATGAGAAAAACACATGAATAATTCTTTCTAGTTGGGATTTTCACAAAAGCCTAAGTGATTCAGGTAAACTTTCCAATTCTACCCTCAGTGCAGTCAGAGCCTGATTTTTAGAAATGCTAAGCACCCGTAACTATAGTTGGTATGAATACAAAGCATTCAAAGAATACAAGCGCTGTGAGGGTCACCTTCTCTTCTTCTGCTTGCAAAGTATCCACAAGGAGACTGTTTCTCTGGGATCCATTCATTTGGGATAAAACTTACTCCTACTCCAAGATCAGCACAAGGCCCTGTATTTTGATGAGTTTATGAGACCTCAGATGTCATATAGGTCTTGTATTTTCCCTCTACAAGGGGCTGAATTCCATCACTAATACTGAAAGGGTTTGCTGAATAATCAATAGTGAATAGATACAAAATTAAAGTTACACTCCTTTGTAGCAATTGGTCAGGCACACCTGATAGTTTTGTTTCTTGTTCATGATTGAAGATACTGGTGAACTTATGGTATTGGTATCAATCCTTTCAATTCAGTTTGGTTCCCAGGAACATGGACATAGGTTTTGCAGGGACTTTCCGGGTCATTAGTCCCCTGTTCTTACAGGCAACCATGTCCTATAATCCCTTTCAGGAACTAAGCAAGCTCCACCTTAAAACTAGCTAGTTTTTTTAGCCTCCAAAACTTTTACTGGGGGCCCCCAGAACCGTACTCCTCTGATGGTGAGGAACCTTTTTCTAAACACCAACCTAGATTTATTCATGGCTGGTTTATATCCATTTGTTCTCATATCAGTGTTGTCTTTTAGCTTGAATAGTTCTTCTTTTAACTGGTATTTACTCTTCTGCTAAATTTATAGTTATATCTCTTGTCATCCTGCACTTGCTAGGCTAAATGAGTCAAGTTTCTTTGATGCCCTCTAATATGGTAAGTTTTTTGTTCTGCTGATCATTCCAGTATCCCTTCTTCTAGACCTTCATAAAACTTTGACATTCATTTCCACGAATGTTTGCATCAGCAAAACTTGGTCTCCCGGTGGCAGGGAAAGTAAATGGGGCATAAGCTCAGTGCAAGTGAATTTTACTTAAAAATCCAAATCGATATTTAGAAAAAGCACATGCACTGTTTACCCAGCTGTAATACTAGCTTGTCCATTTTACTGTTTGTATTTATAGAAGAAGTTAAAAATATCCCCAAGCAATGCCATTATGCTACAAATTATGCAAAGTATTTATTGGATAACATGGGGTCACTCAAAGCAGGTTAGAAACATAATATTTTCATTCCTACTGCATTCCAGTTCTCATGGGAGAATACAGCCATGACTTCAAATATCGCAACATTTTGTCTTTTTGTGTTTCACAACAATTTTTTCCCACATGGAATTTTAACCCTGACTGTGTTTTATTTTTAAGAGGTGTGAGGCAGTTTTATCCTCTTTTTAGATATTCTTCAGAGCCAGATCATTGTACTTATGGCTTATTGTAGCTGAGATGTCCAATAACAAAAAACCTCAAATTCCATCCCATGTTAATGATAGCTGGGCTTTTGCATTAGCTAACAAGCTCTTGAGAAGCACCTGCTTATCAAGATGCTGAAGAAATGGGTGGCAGTTGAAAAGGAATTTTCATTTCCATCCCCCAAAATGGATGTTTTCTTGTTTTTTTTTTCATACTCTCAATGAGGGTCCCAGTTTCCAGATTATTGGCCAGATCTTCAGCTGGTGTGAATCAGGACAACTATTGACTTCAAGGAGATTTGACCCCCTGGGCTCAATACCAAGCATGCCTATGCCAGTACCACTTCATTTCATGGTCAGGTGATCTGTTCACAACTGCACTGCATTCATTTTGACTCTTCTGGAAGACCCTATGGATGGCAGAGGGAGTTTTGCATATGGAAAATTTGGGGGCACAAATGATGAGATAGCTGAAAAATTCCAGCCATAAGAGTCGAACCGTGGCCCCATTGAAGCCAACTAGACTTGGCCAGGACTTGGACTTTATATAGCTTTCAAGGTTCTTGCTAAAGTGGTTTCTCTTCAGAAAAGGACCTATGCTAAATTCATCAAGAATGAGGGGGGCATGTGTTTTCCCCACAGTATTCTGGGTGCCGTTAGTCCCAGTTTTCTGTAAAATAACTGCATCCGTGGCTCCCCTGTACAGCCACCAGAGGGTGCTACAAGCGCAGGGTATATTTGCAGCACTGAGTCCTCCCCAAACCTGCATGGTGGCTTATTGGGCTGTCTTCGAAGTAAAGCAAACTATATCTCAAAACCTCACAAAACAACCAGATGAAGTTATTCAAAATATCTTCAGTGGAAAGCAGCATGGATAGTGCTGCCATTTATAATGCAAATGGAAAATCTTTTTGGTGATCTTTGCAGGCAATTAGCTTTGTAAAGGTTGTACAATCTTTACTCTTGTATGGTGCTAATAGAGTGGAAAGGGAAATACGTTTTTGGTATATGACTTAAAAAGTGACTAAAGTTAATGACACATGCATATCGTCGTTCATCCAAAAGGATACCAAAATGCTTTGCATGCTATGGGCAGCATCTTTGAAAGCAGCGGCCCAGTGCAGCCTGTAGTATACAATAATCACTTTAATACGGAAAGGGAGAAATGCTATAACTGCTAATGATGCACAGCAATATCCTATTCAATGGTGTAGGACACAAAAGGACAAGTATTCTTAGCCAGCTGGAACCTGGGTTGGAAGAAGTTTGGCCTGGTAGCATGTCTTGTACACTTGCTTATGACACAGCAGTGAAAACCTTTGATCTTAATGAAAGTTTCAGGAAATCTCATATTAGTGGTTCTGAATAACATCACCCTTGCAGGCACAGTGCCCCCTTACTGCAACAATAAGGAACTGGTTCAGTGCTGACTTGCAGGAAAGACCACTGCCTACCAAATCTCCTGCAGAACATGACCTAGGTGAAAGAGCTGACGATGCTAGTAAAATAGCTTACATTTTTATACAGCTTGAAATAATCTTTGAAATGCTAGTTGTGTTCCCCGCTGGCAGAACAATTATATATATCTGAAAAACTACATATTTTACCCAAAATAATATCTACTACTGACCATTTGGACAATTAAAAATTACAGGTAAAATAAACAGCATTTTTATTATTTCTGTCAGTCACTCATAAGCAGACATTTAGGTGTGGCCAAACACTGGATAAAAATGGCTTTTAATATCCAAATCAAGAATTGTAAAGTTTTTAAATGTTGCCTGTTGCATGTATTTCATGCTTTTCTCTACTAGAAAATAGGCTTTTTTTTTTTCTTTTCTTTTCTCAAAAGCTGACCCATTTTTAGCTGACATTCATCTTGGTTTTGGCTGAATAATGTGCAAGATAAAAAGATTTTCTTTAAAAACTCATTGATTTTTCAAGTTGTAAGGAATATAAAAAAAAACCCTTGAATTTTAAGCTTCTAATAATGCTTTATATGGCAATGATCTGACAAGCACAGATTACCAAATGTCATCGTATACTATGAGTGTACTCTTTGAGTAAAATTTATGCTGAGGTAGAGAGCCAGAAGGCCTATCTATCACTTAAATCCCATATAAATTCTATCTGGAGTGAACTTTTTGCACATAAGCAAATTTTGCACATAATCAAATGCCACATGTCTCCTTGATTTTAATTCCCTTCATGGGATTGTTTCTAAAAATTCTTCACTAAGAACAAAGATTAGGAGAATATTTCTTTGCAAGGGATTAGAAATGACAGGCAAACACTTTTAAAAATAACCAGGCACATCACATTTATGCTTGATCCTAGATTCACATATCTTACTTGCATTAATAGGAATTATGTAGGCACATTAAGAGGATAAAAAATCACTAGAAATCACCCGAGGCTATGAATGACATACTGTATTCAGTATACAGTAAGGAGGTAGCACCTAATGCATGGTGCTTTATTGAAACACTGAAGACTTGGTCACTGCCCTGAAGCTTGAGCAGAAGGTCATTTTACTCTTTATCACAGAGCATTGCTCAATAAACTTCTCAGAAGGCCAGATTCTCTGGTCCTCTTTAGCTCCCGTGTGCAATTTTAGTGCTTCAAAGAGACCATAAACTGGCTATATCTCCATAGCTAAGGGCATCAGGGGTGGGCCATGTCTATGCAAGGCGCTGACTGCGCAGTTGTTACTGCATACACAAGTACTAAATGACTGAGCAGTAACCAGAGTTACTGTGCAGTAGTGTCCCCAAATGGCTGTTTAGTGATGCTGACTGTGCCGTAGCTCGTTACTACTGTGCAGTAGCATCGCATCGTGCCACATGGCGCTGCTGTGCAGTAGTCACGAGCTACTGCACAGTCAGCACCTTGTATAGACGCGGCCAGGGCGTAACTGTTCATCACTGCCCTCCTGAACCAGTTGGAGGAATGTGCTGGATGCATGAAAGGAGTGGCCAGAGTGCTAACATATTCCAGTTACCCTCCACTGGCTCCTTTTTTGACCTCTCTTGCTGTGCTCAGTGGAAATTAGGCACATCATAGAAACTGGGCTTGAGTACTTTGGCTTGTGCAAGAATTAGGATGAAGAAGTTTCACCAGAAGTGCTGTCTCTCACACTTGCTGGGTCCTTACTCTTTTAAGGTCAGCATCCTTGAATACTCTTATAATCTGGGCAGGTTTCCCATGGAGTGCAGTATAGATCATGAGTGTGGTAGCTGCTCACTTCATTTTACTCATGCCTTTGTTTTTCCATCAGCTGGCTCTGCAGAACTCCTTGCGTTATTTCCCACCTGAATTACACCAACTGCTGGCATCCGAATTTGAAGATGAGCTTAGGCGCTATGGACATATTTACATGTATAGATTCTATCCGCACATTGAGATGAGGTAAAGTTTGGGATGTGTGCTTCAAAATTTCCAGGCAGCAGCCACTTACATACTAATTCCACTTTGGGCATGAAAATCACCTCTGGATATAGAGGTAGCCTGAGACCTATGCATCACTAAAGCCCTACTTTAGCTTTTCTGGAAATTGTGTCAAGACTCATTAGTGAAATGAGTGAATATGGTGTTTTTTTGTGTGGGATTATAAAACAGTGCCTGGTTGTCCTGAGTCCTGGGTATAGTTTTGGGATGTCTGTAAGCCACATAGCAGAATTTCTTCATGCTTCAGTCTCTTTACTGCTCTCTGGCCACATGAAATTCCTCATCATTAGTAACCATTATTACTAATTACTAATTAAGTATTAGTTATTACTAATTATTAGTAATTATTACTAATTACTTATTACCTCAACATTAGTAATCTGAACCACGAGCAAAATATTGTACACCCTTGTTGGTGGCTATTGGCTCTTCCCTTTTCTTTCTACCATTACGCTGCTCTCCTCAAATGAAAGCTGCTCTCCTCTATTCTGTGCTGTCTTAACTACCCTGTTGTATTTATAGACCTGAGATTTCGACCCAGCCGCCAGGTGTGAGATATCCATATACCGCTGTTATATTGAGGCCCACAATTGGTAAATCAAGGATTGCTCAGAGGCCCTGAATGACACGAGACCTTTCTGTTTAAGAAAGTCAGTCTTCATGTCACAGAGGGGAGGCATTTGAACCGATTTTAAAGGGACAAAGAGTATTCCCCACAACCAGCTTTCATCTGTGAAGCCTACCCCCTGTGACCCCAGTCTGAAATATGCTGGGCCTGCTGATCGTTGGAGCATGCCTCAAGGTTTTCCTTATGGTTTGGGGGACAGATCTGATGGCACATAGGTTTTTGGAGCAGAGCAGTTTTGTTGAGTGTTAGCTGCTCTTTTTTTAGTCTGATAAACTGCTTCTTGCATCAAACAAGGGCCTGTTTAATATCTGAATAGAAATCTAAATAAATAAGACAAATAACTATAAATCACTCAGATTTGTGTAGACAACTGTTTCTAAGCTCTCAACATTAAATTGGGGCCTAGGTAAACCAAACACTTTCTTTAAAGAGAGCAGAAGTGTTGTTTGAATAGAAAAGTTGGGTTTTCAGTAGAATATAGCTTTGAGTAATATGTTGAGAACAGACTTCCACGGACAGGGTTGGAGTAGGTGACTCAGCAGGTCATCTCTGATGTCAATGAATCTGTGATTATATCAGGTACTTCTAAAAGTTTGTGTATTTTTCTTTTTCAACATTTGTAACACTCTCTCAGAATCTCAGGAATAAAACCCAAAATGTTTCTTTTCCATCTTCTAAGATTTGATTGTGGTTTGTTGTGTATTTCCTGTGGAATATATTCCAGTTTGGTTCTGTTCCATTCATATCAATATGTATGTGTCAATATGCTTTGTGCTAAGAGATATCTAAGAGCGTGCTTTGTAAAGTTGCTTTTGCTCTCATTAATCTTACATTTTAATTAAGATTCTAAAGTTGCTTAGTCCTATAAATTGGCATCAGTTTTCCCATGTATTGTTATTTTGTTACCCCTGAAAACAAAACAAAGCAAAACAACAATAAAAAATAAAAAATCCCGCTGGGCATGTCTACACGTCACCCTATGGTGATGTTGTTACTGTGCTGTGCTTTAGTACTTCGTTTTGGAAGTACCAAAAGGAAGTACTAAAGTACAGTGCAGTAACTGCCTGTACTGTGCCATGCGCATGGCGCATGGATAGGTTTTGTTGCTACTTTACCATAGCGGTGCACTAAAACGGGGAAGCGTGCTGCAATGGTAAAGTAGCTGCCGCTCACATGTAGACCCACATCGCCCTACATTGCCATAGCAATGCACTACAGCTACATAGAGACGTGCCATGGTGATGTAGCAACGTGCTACAGCCACATAGCGTAATATGTAGATAAGCCCACTAAAAATGAATTTCCTCCTGCTTTGACAAAGACCATGATACATGTCATCTTTATCCTGCAGAAAACAGATAGGTTAAAGGATATGTGCCTATGGGATGAGACCAACTGCTAAATCAATACAATATACATTTCAAATCCTGGGCCAGCAGATGAATAATTGTTATAATTGTCAGTCTTTATCCTCATTTTTCCAGAAATGTCCTTCCATATGAAACAAATCTCTGACTATTGGGAGAGTGCATGCTAATGAAGAAACATGAATTGTCTGGTCTACCTGAAGTAACTTTAAATGGCCATAACTTTTCTGCTTGCAAATATAGAGGAGGCAATATAGTGAAATCTTTTTAACATGGTTATGCTCTACTATGAAGATGATGATGATAGACCAAAGAGTCCCTAGCACTTTTGTGGTGGACTATGTACAGGCACATAACAAAGAGATCATCCCTGCCTTGAAGAGCCTGCAATATAAGACTAGAAGTCATAGGACATGTTAATATGACAAGTAGATGGGGGAACACAAGGTCACAATGAGATTATTTCACAAGTTAGCCTTGGTGTATGATACTGCCTTGAATCAAATTGGGTTCTTTCCTTTTCAAGAATCATTATTAGTAACCAGCATTGTGCAGGTCAAACTGTGCCCTCAGTGATATTTGTGAAACCCCACTGGACATTTCTACTATTTTGTTGAGAGTGCTGCCCTGAAGCATACCCCCTACTCTGTTCACCAAAGCAACAGAGCTACCTTAGAGCAGTGCAGCTCAAGACGGAGAGCCTGCAATTGGCACTGGGGTGCATTCTCAGAGTTGCTGTAAGGCAGCTACATTGCACCATTTCCAGGGTTTGGCCTACACAGAGTGGGAATGAATGGGTAGGGCATGTTTCTCAGTGGTGCTCTTCAATTCAGGGTGGAGCCAGTCTCTACATACCCATTGCATCCAGTATAGCTGGAATTGAGTAATCAAACAAGGTGATGGTGCTCCAGGAAGAATCCAGTTGTCAATTCATTGCATTGGCTTGCAAAGCTAGGACGGAAGAGAAATAAAAACAACTTGTTTTTGTCACTCAACTTAGTACCCATTCATGATTCATGACCTCAGCAATTGATAGGAGAAACAGGCTGAATAAAAGTGTTCACAAACAGTCTTTGATTAGCTCTGATACATATCAAAAAAGGCTTTGTCTGTTAATTTGCAGGAATCATTATTTTATTTTTTATTCTTCTCTTATGAATGTCCAATTCTAGGAAGTTTGGTGGCAATTCAGGTTTTGTTCAGTGTCCCCCACCCCTTTTTTTTTTAAACATGCTTTAAAGAAGAACTCTTTGGGTGTATGTTTATTTCAGAGCCTACCCCATAGAGGAATATCCTTGCAAGATCAAATCAGCTGCTGCAATCATGCACATGATCATGAATAACTTGGATCCCTCAGTAGCACAGGTATGGCACAATGAAAATAAAAGTCTCAAAACTGTTCACAGAACAGGAGCAACTCTGCAGGTCTCTTCCTGCATGTGCTCACCTATAAACTGAGCAGTGCAGACACTTACAATGAAATGGATCTCTGCGCAGATGATGCTCAATATAATGGTTAAATGGGTTTTAACTAGTGCCTGAGCCTTACACTGGCCCTTTGCACAAAGGTGAATTGCTCTATGTATCAGTTAGGCACATCTACATGTTCATTAATGTGCTTTAGGATTGAGCATTAAATCTGGTACCTCCATTGTGAGGTACTAGAAAAAGGCACATTAGCCTATTTTAATGCGTTAACTAAAAAGTACATTTTTTTAAAGATGCTTTAATGTGCATTAAAATAGGCTAATGTGCATTAAAGCACATGTGTAGACATGGCTGGTTAATTGTCAATACCTTCAGAAGGGTATCCATATAGTATCCAAGGAGAGGATATCTTTGGAGGACCGAGGGAAATTTATGTTGTGTTATGTCTTAGTAAGCTTTGAGGGAATGTCATGTTTCTCAGGACTGTGTCCTAAGTATGGTTCAGTTCTTCAGTCCCAGTTGCTTCAGTCCTATTGATTTTGATGGGAGTCATGCATGCTAGAGGGCTCTTTCATATGGTAGAGGCCATTGCCTTGCTTTTGTTGAAGGCTTCAGTACCAACCAGGACATTTCTGTCACAGGTCCAACACCCTTTAAATCATTCTGAAGTGTAGATGGTGACTACTAGAATCCTTTAGCTACTCAGCCTTTCTTACAGAGGTCTGCTATTAATGAAGACTGGAATAGGGGTATATAAAGACCCAAATTATTTAGTTTTATTGAGCCTGGGGTGTTGGTAGTGCAAATTTAATAGGTCTCTTTTTGTGTCAGTAAATGTAGAAAAAATATTGTCCCTGGGCAAGGAGAGAACTATGGTAGAGGGCAATGCTCCAAACAAACACAGCAAGATGAACCAATGGAGATTATATTTCCTATCTAGGGGTGGGTTGAGGGACTGCAGAGTTTTGAGAGGTAGCAGAGAGCCATACCAAAATGTTTTAGGAAAACACTTCATTAAAAATTATTGAAATGTACCTTTCTCAGTTTCCACAGGAACTTGTAACTTATGGAGGAAATGGACAAGTCTTCAGCAACTGGGCTCAGGTATGGCATTGGTACATCTTCACTGTTGTGAAAAGATTGATCAGATTTACACTTCAGCCATCCAAAACCATTCTATGTAGACAGAGATGGAGACAATTTTTTGGCAGTCATGGTCTCATAATATTTGAAAACATCCTATCTGGAGCAATGAATGCTAAGTTATAAACTTCAAAGATATACATAGTATTATTTAATGAAAAGAACAAATGCTGCCAATAGGAGTATTGCAACATAAATGTAGCAAGCTGCTGATAACTGGACATATCTACATGTGTGCATTTACTGCACAGTAACAAAAATTACTGCACAGTAGGGATGCATGTCTATACATGCACTGCACAGTAACACTGTGTGTGAGAACAGTCCACACATCGTTAATATGCTTTAACTCCTGCACGTGTAGATGCCGGCCTATTCTTGCTTACTGCATGGTAATTTACTGCACAATAAATTTAAGCCAGCATAAATGCATGTGTAGACACACCCATTGTGTATTTTAAAACCAATTCTGTATTTTCCTGTTGTAAATATACATGCGCCTGTGGTATATACAGATATTTTTAGAGGCAAACTGAATCCTAAGAAGCAAGAATGTATATTTGTTTTGTTGTTTCTAATGATTTCACAGTAGCTTGCACAAAATGCAACATATTAACAGTGTTGGGCTTGACTTAGAAACCATGGTCTTGAATTTGTTTCTAACTGAGTTAAAGATTAGCCAAAGACATAAGTATTAAGTACCAGGTGACCTTCTAGCTCTTTGGAGGCTGTAATTTCAGTTTGGTTAATATTATTTAGATTTTCTTATAGTGGCAAAGAGTGAGTAGAGATTTGAATCTAAACCCAGGGCCAGAATGTTCAATACATCATAAACTTTTTTCATGGAACTTCCTCTGCATACTGTATGTCAGCGTTTCCCAAACTTTTCCTCAGCATGACCCCATTTATGACCCCATTTCCTCAGTATGGCCCCTCATTCCCAACTCACAGCCCCCTAGCACTGCTAGTGCCCTTCACTCCCAATCTGCAGTCCCCCAATCTCCCCAGGTGCCCCAGGGCCAGGGCCCACAGCCCCCTTTCCTCCACCCCAGCACACCTGAGCCCCAGCTGCCACCCACAGGAAGCAGCAGCTGCTGAGGCTGGAGCCCACAGCCCAGCTCCCTGTCCCCCTGCCCCTGTCCCCTCTCCCGCAGGCAGCACGGCCAGAGCAGAGCCTGGGGTGGGGGGGAGGGGAAGGATGTGGGCTGCCCACTGTGGGCTTGGGGCTCCCCACCCTGCTGCCCTTCCTCTGGGCCTCTGCAGCTCAGTGGGTGAGACCTGGCGTGGAAGAAAGTGCCGCGCCATGACCCCATCCACTGATGTTGCAGCCCCATTTGGGGCTGTGACCCTTGGTTTGGAAACCACTGCTGTATGTTCTCCCTATTCCATCCAAAAATAAGATTTATTGCAATGTAGCTGTCTCATGTTATACAACACTAAAATTTACCTTTTAAACATTTCAAGGAAGTCACTGGCATTAATTACAGGGTTAATCCATTACTCTGTATTCTCTTCACTCAGAACCAGACTGTCTATGGTCTGGGAAGCACTGACAAGAGGGAAAAAGCTGTTCTAGGGCCCTCTGGACAGCTGTGTCCAGATGCAGTCTTTTCAAACATTGGAATTCATCCTTCCATCCAACCTCTGAGGCACAAGACGTGCCAAAGGCTGCAGAGCAGCAAAAGGATGAATTAGGGCCGGGGTCCTTGGTTGTTGCTGGCAGAGCAGGACAGATGTGCAGAGAAAAAGAGGGCTAGACCCCCTTCAAGACAGAGAGTCTCAGGGCTGAGGAAGTCTAAAGGCCTCCTAGCTCTCTGCCTCCCTCCCAGAGGGTCTCCTGGCCTGGTATGATTCTACATGTTATTCTAAGGCCATTTATACCAGAAAGTGCCTTTCAGACAAACATGCTTTATAGCAGATATCCCTGTTCAGCTTTGCTGAAGTTATCCTTTTCTTAGTTTTAAAAGAAATTCTTTGACTGCCCTCCTGATCAGAGGAGATGAATGGTCTTGTGACCATAGCACAAGGCTGAGAGATATCAGGCCGGAGTTTTATTTCCAGTCCTACTACAAACTCCACGTGTGGCTATGGGACAATTTGTATGCCCCCCATTTCCTACTCTGTAAAATAGCAGTGGTAATTCTTACCTCTCTTTTGGACCTTTTCTAAAGACCATAATTCATTTGTAAAATCCTTTGAGACCTTGAAGGAAAGGTGCTGTGAAAATGCACTGCACATTTAAGGACCCTGTTCCATGTAGATCATACAGCAGATTTAATGTGGACAGTACCTGCAATTAGATCAGCTGCATACATTTGTTCTGGAAGGCTGACAGTCCTTGGGGCAGATGCTGAACTGCAAGGTAAAAATGGATAAAATGTGGATACATTTCCAGTTCCAGCAGTCTTGTCCAAGTTAGATAGAGCTGTGGTCTGCCAGTCTTCATTGCAGAACAAACAATAACTTTTTGTTACTGATTATTACTGAGTAGCAATTGCATAACTGATCCAGCTATGATGGATACACTCTGTTCTCTGTGGTGTTGTCCTAAAAAGTGCATTTTTAAAAAAGTCATTGTGAAATTTCTCTTGAAAATGCTGCTGTTGCTGGTGTGTGTGTGTGTGTGTGTGTGTGTGTGTGTGTGTGTGTGTGTGTGTATGTATATAGGTATATATATGTAAGTATATATACATATATATATCTAACACTGATATCTACACTGATCCTTCTGGCTAATTAAAGACGTGCACGCACACACATACGAAATACAAGACATGAAATACAGCAAGATTGAACTATTTAGAGAGTTTTCAGTTCTTTAGTACTGGAGCTACATGAGAAATAATTTCCCCACTCTGTGGAAGTTTTGAGGGTTTCAAATATTTTCCTGTTCTGCACTGGGATAAAATTGTAGCCTTTCAAAGGTCTTTATAAGGCAGGGGGAACAGAGAAAAAGAGAACCTTATCCACCCAGAATAGTCAGTAGTCCAGTAGTTGGACCCAGAATGTGAGAGACCAAAATTGTAGTCCCTTTCCTTGCTGGCTCCCAAATTCAGGAAAATTCTCTTAACCTCTGGGCTGCTTACTGTTCTGAAATGGGTGAAGCTGTTTTTCCTGTCTGAGAGCAGTTGAAACAAGCTGTTGAAACTAGCATGTACATTCCCATAGGACATGTTGCAACAACAAAAAATGAAACATTTTGTCAGAAAATTCCTCACCATGTATAATTAGGACAGTAATAAAGTGTGCAAAATAATATGGACTCCTCTCTATTGAGAAATAATGGACTTGAGTCAACTTTTTCAGCCAATTTAGATACTAACAGCTCAATTCTGCTCCCTGGTATAAATCCCAAGCCACTATTGATTTTTGCAAATTATTTGGGGAATTTTCTGTTTCTGGGTGCACCAAGCTTTGCATTTTCTTTCATCCATGAAGAAGATGATTTCTGTTTGTGACAAACAATTCTTTCCTTTTCAAGTGCAAATTGTAACCTTCATGTATTTCCAAGCTGAAAAACCACACTAAAATATCCTTTTTCAGGTTAGGATCAATAGTTTATGTGGGCGTTTCATCATTGTTACTCTAAAGAAGAATTTTTAGCATTTGGCTTTGGGAAATTTGCCAGAAAACTGCCAGTTCAAGTTAAAATTAGAACAATTCTAAAAATGATTCGTTAAAATGCTAGCAAGTTGTTTCTGGGTTTTGTAGTGGGGGAAAAAAAGGCACGTTTTTGTTTTTGCTTTACTTTCTGGATCTCATTCAGGCTTTTGCTCAGTAGTAATTTATGTATTTCCTGCTATGCAATGTCCTTGTAATGGACCTTATTAAAAGGAAGAATGTGGTGAAGGCTCTGGTTGCTGTTCTATATAAAAAACCTGCTATTTTTCCACGTAGCTGTTTTTGTACTAGGAACTTGAAAGCTCTGTGAAGAAAGATCCATGTGAGATGGAAACAGCTTCACTAGTTTTCCTTTGCTTTAACCTTCAGTTCTGGTTGGTGATGCACTATTTGTCCGAGGTGACTGAAGAGCAAACATTAGTGATGTACAGTGGGCATCCTTTGGGCCTGTTCCCCAGCCATCTGCATGCACCTCGATTAGTCATCACTAATGGTATGGTAGGTATTCACATCACATTCTGTTGTCTGCACCCTGCCTTTTAAACGTATTCCTTCTTAGAGCTTTCTTATTGTTTGAATTTATTGCAGCACAACTAAAAAACATGTATAGGTCCAAATTCCCACATTTATTCTAGTGCAACCCCTTCTACATCTTCACAGCTCCATTAGGGTCACTGACAATAGGAGTCTGCAATGCTAGTAATCTTTTGTCATGACCTACCCAGGGAAGATCGAATGAATGCTTTAGAGATGAAAGGCAGGCAAAGTTCTTCAGGTAAATGTCGGCTACAATCAACAAACCTAGAAATTAAGGATGTCATTGCTAGTCCCCTGAGCCATCAGTACACATCACTTCATTTCTTGTGGATAGATAGTTGCCTTATCTAAGATTCGAAAGACAATTACATGGCAGATTAGGCACTTCTCCCATGCTTTTAGAACATAGGGAGCTAAACCTACTTGCCTTACTGATTTCCATTGATTTGCTACTTTTGTGTGAATAGAATTCCAGGTTTCAGCCTGTGGAAAAGAATGGTTAAATTCTATATTTTTTTTTCTTTAGGTTGTACCCAACTATTCCTCCAGAGATGAATATGAGAAAATGTTTGCAATGGGAGTCACAATGTAAGATATATATTCACTACTAATCTAGGTTTGCAAATGTATAGATTTGCAGTCTTATCTTAGCTAGAACTGAGTCAGGGACCAGTCTTCATTTGATTAGAATTTCTAGTATAGACAGATTTTTAACTGGGTTTCATAGCTGAATCAAGGCCCTGATTTGGTAAAGCATTAAATCCAAGCTTAACTTTCAGAGCATGAATTATCCCATTCATAGTTTGCAAAGCACGTAAGTATGAATTTCAGTGATGCTAGCATTTGAAGTTAAGGGTAAGGGCTTTGCCACTGAGTCCTAAAGTCATAATCATGGACCTTGAAGCAGAACTGAAGTTGTCATGATTTTTGCTATATTTCTGGAATTAATTATTCAGTTGATTTTTTTTTCATGTTCATTTAGTTTATGGAGCAGGGGATTGTCCACCCAATTATATGAGTGTTCGTGCTGGTGAGAGACTGAATGGCTGTAGGGTTGTTAAAAGCCATGGAGAATTAGAGGTACATAAATAAGGAGCTGTGAGCATGTGGAAGAGAGTAAATAAAGAGGGTGAACATGGAGGCTGGGATTTTTTAAGAACTTCACATGAGTAGGCACTCAGGGTAGCATTTTTAAAATCATTTGGATAAGGGCAACCATGTAACCAAAGTGCTTTTAAAAATCGTACTGTCCAGTGCTCCTGGACTCCCAGCTCAAGTTGGACATTCACATTGTTGGGTCAGATATAATGGTTGGGACTGCCTGGGAGCCAAATAAACACATGCTTCCATTGTATGTGTTTGCACCACAATTGTGCAATTATAAGTGACATATGTGAAACTCCCTTTGCTTAATATGTGAGTTCAGCGCTTGAAACAATGGTGGGGTATTGAAAGGGCAACCTACTTTTTATGTTTCTGGGCAATTTTTTATTTTTAATTCAGAAACAATTCAGTTAAGTGGGGATAATATGATGCCTGCTAATAACAGATTATATAGCCATATAAAATGCTCTTATTGCAATTTTATTTTGAGTTGGGTAAAAGTGATATCATTGCATTTGCTGTTATTGCCAGGTATGGCCAGATGACAGCAGGGAGCTATTGCTACATTGGACCACAGGGAATAGTTCATGGAACAGTGGTAAGAGATTTTGGAGCAGGAACACTCCCTCCTAGAGATAGCCACTAGCCAGGGCTGTTCTAATTGCTGTTGTCAGGGTGCTCCTGACTATAGAAGGAAATTAATTTGGCTGCCACATTAATAAATGTGTGGTTCTCCTCCAAGCTACAGCTCTGGCCCACATTCCAAGTTTGAGACTGTTGGGCTGTTGTCTAGTTAAAACAGGAGAGCTACAAACTAGCTATTTTTTTTTACCAGGTGCTTCTTGTATAGCATCTTTAAGTCCTGTCTCAAGACTTCTGTGCATGATTTCTGTAAACAAAAGTGTATCCGCTGAGTCCTTTTGGATTTAAAGAAACCTTTATTCAACACACATTCCCTGCTTTGGCTTCATGGCAGGGTTGATTCAGGCATCTCTAAGCTGTTGGTGAGAGTGTCTTTGACCTTGACTATCTTACAAGCATAGAAATGGAGGGCTGGAAGAGACTTCCAAAGATCATCTTGTCCATGGGGCCTCCACTGTAGCGGGGGCCAAGTATAATCAGAAGTGATGACTCTGCAGTGGAACTCAGCAACTTGCTGTCTTCTCTGACACTCCCAATAGTTTCTCCTGACACTGAGCATTAATAATTTCTTAATTCGATTTCATTGTATTCCAAACTTCTTGTAAAGGGTGGACCATTTGGTCCTTCTAAAATTACCAATGCCTTATGGCACCATAACAAATTCCATTTATAAACACATGTAGCTTCCACACAAATGTGAGAGTGCAGTAGTGTTATGGACATATTAAATAAAAGTAACTGGAGGATGTTTAAGAAAAGGAGCCTCTAATCATTACTTTATTGCGTGCTGTGCTTTAGCTGACTGTGCTGAATGCAGGTCGTCGCTATTTGGGTGTGGAGGACCTGGCTGGAAAAGTGTTTGTCACCTCTGGCCTTGGTGGGATGAGTGGTGCCCAGGCTAAAGCTGCAGTTATTGTTGGATGTGTTGGGATCATTGCTGAGGTAAGACCAGCACCTCCTTATTGTCACTTGATCTTTCTGTTGCTCTGTGTCCTGTCTCAGATTTCTGCGCTCTGCTGATGCATGTCTTGTTTTCTCTTCCTGGTTGGCCTTCCCTTGCCAAACCCCACTCTGGCTGCATCTTCTTCTGCTCATTTGCTAGGTCATTTATAATTTTCTCTACTCTATTAAGTATATAAAACATACAGCTTATTGGAACTCATTAACAATATTTTCTCCACAGAACTATACATCTTTGTTATTGCTTATTATAATCTCTCCTTCATTTCCTCCAGCACTGTGGTCTGACTGTTACCAGTTCATTGTATTAGACCTCAAACTATAGACCGTGTCTTTTTATGTTTGTAAAGTGCCAGCTACTTGCGTGGTGCTATATAAGTAATAAATCAGTGGAGTGGCACAGTGGAGTGGGCAGGTTTGACTGTGTAGGCTGAATTCAGCATTGCTGTAAATGGCTGTAACTCCTACATACTTCAGTAGAAATTGTGCAGTCTTACGCCAGGAATGATTTTGACCAATGCTGTTCAAACAGGGGTGATTTTAATAGGATTAGTGGTTAATGCCTCTGGCAGCCTCATCAAATTATAAGTATGCCTAATGGAAATGTTGGAATGTACTAGTCATTTAGGTGGGGTTTTCATAAGTACTCAGCATTGGGCTAACTGTGCTCTCACTAAGGTCATCAGAAGTTGAAATCACTGAGTTTTACTGCTGACTGCAATGGCAGCAGAGTTAAGCCAATGGCCAACACTTTGGAAAAGTCTTCCCTTAAGCAACAAGGCCCCGGCATCTATTGACCTTAGAGTCATAGATCAGATCAGATGAAGACCATTTATCCTGGCTGTCCTGATCTGATGATAATTGACCAGCCAGGAAAGTTCTGCTTAGTTCTTTTCCGGAGAGCTAATTTAGGTTCACAAAGCTTTGAGGCACTTCATTCTGCATCAGCACTTTGAACAGCCCAAGCCTGGTCCTACACTGAAGAGAATAGGCTTCAATGCACCTTCCTATGCACCTGCATGGATCCTGGGGGCAGTCCTCTGCAATTTCATCCCTAAACATATCTTAGCGCAGCCTCAGAATTGCTCCAAATCACACCAATTTGTAAATGACCCTGAGAGAGAAATTATACTGACTGGGGAATTTCTGTGGGACCATTCTCTCTTCTACTCACCATATATTACCAAGGTGTCGTGAATTTGGGGGTTTCTCTTTGATCCAGTGTGATATTTGCCTGTTCAAAGTCTGCCCAAATGAGCCATACATTTGAGCCCTACAGGAAAATAGTTCAACAGCAGTCTTCTTAAAAAAATGAGTGTATAGCAATAGTCTTTCCCCATAGCCCCACTTACAGTTAAATCAGTTTTAATGATAGCTTGTTAACATTAGCCATTTTCTCTCTCTGAGCTAAGTACCGTGAATGTATCAGCAATCAGTATAATTGTTAGGGGACCATCATGTTTATGTAATACATAAGCAACACACCTAGTACTAAATGCTAGTACCATGTTTTCTTGCACCTTTTTCCCAAAAATCAGCCTCCTAAAATTGGAGTGTATATATTAAGCACGGGAAGCTGATTTGATGACCGGGATAGAAGTACCTCCTTCTGATTCCTGCTCCACCATGCAACAGCTGGTATATTACTAAGTCAGGCAGCTGAAGGTATCAGTTACCTAAATAACTTATTCTTCAGTCCAAAGAGGTTAACTATTGTCTCTCTTTTCAATGGTCTTGATATTTTACTAATCAGGTTAAACTTTCTTATGGCAATTGTGTTGTCTGCTAGCTGCTTCTGGTCTCCCTTTTCCTGTTTCACAGCTTTGGAGATAACTTTAGTTGTTTTCAAAATCATAGATCCACCCTGAGACACCAGTCTTAGAAACAGCTAAGATTTCAGCTTTAGTTAAGCAGGAAAAGGAGGGTGAGTTAGCTGAACATTAGGCTTCCTCCCTGCTCTGTGCATCCATAACTCTGGAAAAATCTTTTGTTCTTCATTCTGCCTTTTGAAAGCAAGGTAAGTATTCCAGGGTGTGTTGTATGTGACAAAATACACTACTATAACATGTGTACCTTAACAAGCTTGTGTACAAACCTGTGTACTCATAAGATCAAAATTAAATCGACTTGATTTGAAATGTAATTTTAAAACATTTGGATCTTTTAATGCTTGTATTTTCCTGCATTTTTCATGTTCTAATGCTATTTATATGTTCACTTCTTCTAAAGTTTTGTTTGATTTCAGACCAGAATGGATCCCCAGCTGTTTAAATTGCGTAACTTTAATGTTTTCTATGTTGCAAAATGTAATGTTAGGCATCATTTGGGATTATATGAGCTGTTTTGTTAGACAAGCATTCATTTGTTCTTTTGCTAAAAAAATATAAATACAGTTCTGGCCCCATTGAACACTTTGAAGATCCATTGATTTTCCTTTTTAATTTATTCAGCAAAACACTTAAACACATGATTAGCATCAAGTATGTGCTTAAAAATCCATTAAAATGTCTAATTCTTCTTCTGAATTAGGGTTTTAGAGAGTTGCTCTGGTAGGTATAAGTGATTTAGCAATTTTGAATCCAAAGTCCTACAATCACAAAGCTTCTTGACTTAACTCTCTAAATCCTACCAACATGGCTCATTGTTCTGAAAAGGTGATCCCTGACATCTCATTTCTACATTAGGTTTAAAGCCTAGTTTCCAAATAAATCCAATTCATTATATTTCTCCACCAGATTAGCTCAGACAAGATTTGAAACAATTTAAATAGAAACAATGTGGATAAAAGTTCTGATTTTTCTTTTAAACACTACTTAAAAATAATTACATTATTCAAGGGAGCAGATGAAACCATTCAGAAAATATCTGATAAATTTTTACAGTTCATTGAAGGGATTGTAATTGAAGTTTTAAGTGGTCTAAGAACACATTATATTTTGCTTGGCCAATAAAATACATTCCTGAGGAGTTGTTTTGAACTATGACCTGGTAGCAGTTGCAGTGTTTTATGGATGCTGTGTCCTAAAGTTTGTTAATAGCATCTTGTACAATAGATCACAAATTGCAACCTTTCAAGTTAGTTTCATGCCAGTTTGCTAGGCAGCATGAAGGCTGCTTGCTCTGTAGTATGCTGAAGTTTAATAATTAAAAAGAACCAGATTCTGATGCTCTTATTCATCCTGGGTGCATCTACATGTGTGCTTCACTGCAGAGTTGACTAAGTAGCTCCTCAGTAAAGCGTCACAGTCTACACGTGCGCTGGTATTAGGGCACAGTAAAATAATTACCTGTGCCATAACACAGACTGTCCGGGACAGTACTGTCTTGCGATAGAGTACTTAACTGCCAAAACGCACATGTAGGTGGTGACAGGGGCTGACTGGGGCACAAGGAAGCTGCAGTGTGGGGCTACCTGCCACCTAACCCTGCACTTTAGCACTCCTGCCCCAGCCAGCCCCACGCCACTCAATGCCGCCATCCAGAGCCTGAGACTGACCCACCTGTGCCCTCTGCCAGCCCGGTGCTGCTCTGACCTGGCTCAAAGTGCTGTGGTCCGAGGTGCACATGTAGATACTGTACCTGGGAGCAGCTGACTCTGGCACAAAGTGTGCCGGAGTTTATCATGTCGCATTATTTGCACATGTAGATGCACCCGTTGTATTTTAGGCCCCTGTCAGACATTCAATTAAAGGCATGATGGGATCTGATCTATACCCCCAGCAACTGTGCTGCTTGCCATGCTACTTGTGTAGGGCAGGAGATGTGATTATAGGGTTATGGACCAAATCCCAATTGTGCCATATTGCCAGCACAGGGGAAGCCCAGAATCATGGATCAGCAAGTAGCAAAACAGTCAGGTGATTGGTGCTTCGAACCTCAGCAGCACATTGGAGTCAGGGTTGATCAGCTGATCAGCCTGGCCACACATTCAATTTGAGTCACAGTAGGAATCAGCCCCAAAGTTATTCCATGTTTTTTGTGTAATAATGCCATGGCTTATAGCCTGTTTTATCACACCATTATTACATGCATGTGTGGCTGGGTTACTATTTAAGATGTAATTAACTGGTTAATCATGTCTTAAGTACAATGTCTATCAGGGGCCTTAGTATATGACTTCCATGGAATTACTTGTATAGTCTCAACCCAAGATGCAAAAGGATATCGAGATCTGGCTGTGCATTAGTCAAACTCATTCCCCTGAAATTCTGTGCAACAAAAAAATATCATATTGCAACAAATCAAGCAAAGCAAAATCAAATAAAAAAATTACAATTCCACCCTCCCCCAGTTAGTCACCAATTTTGCTTAACAACTTTTTGATAATTTTAGTAGGTGTATATTAGTCTCTTCCTTGAAGATAACACTGAATTCTGTTTGTGGAAAAAACATTGTTGATGATCTAGTTGCAGGAGTGACCACAAGGTGACATTGTCAGTGAATTACCAGTACTCAGGAAGCCTTTGCTGCTAAACAGTTTTCAGGATCAAGCAGTGGAGAGGGCTGGCTTTTAGTAGGTCACCTGTCTTTTGCATGCAAAGCTCTCTGGAGAACAAAGTAGGCCATGCCACTTCTGAATCTGAAAGCCTGGGTCAATCAAACTGCCCACATGGGACACAGTAAATCTGACCCACTGCATCTGGATTTGAGATCTAATTTTAAAAGGCTACAATGTCATCAGTCTTGCAGGGTTTCATCCCTAATGCTGAAGTCTTAGCAACATTGGATCAATTCGATGAACTCTTCAGGTAGCTTTCTAGGTGAGGAAAGCTGGCTTAAATTAATAAATTATTTTATATCCACACCTCCACTTTGTCATCTTGATTGTTTAAGTTTTACCCAGTGAAGAATGGTTTTGAGGGGATGCTACCCACATCACTTCCCTGTCCTTTTCATCTCTACTGCTCCAGATGATTTTGTTCAGAAGACTAATCGTCACCTGTTTTTTATCTCCTGTGGGATGGTCCCTGTCGGAAATGAGTTTCAGGAATGCACATGAATAGCAGCTATATATATCTCTCTGTATATTTTAAGGAACTATTTATGCAAATACATTGACAGATTGTACAGGAGACATCATTTTGTCAGCCCTGGCTTCTGAAGTTGAGACAGGAGGAATTAAAGCGGAAGCTCTCTTTCCTCCTAAGTGTAACATGAAGCAGAATCCTATTTTTAGTTGCACTTGCTGAGGCGATAAAGTGATCCATGGTGTAACTCCCTGGAGTCACTGGACTTGCACCCGAGGTGATATTTGTCTGTTAGTGGTAATGCCATTTTAAACACTGCTGGCTCACTGATCAAAGAGCATAAATGTTTGTCTAGAATCTGGTACAAAGGAAGTTAATATCTTTAGGCGTGTTGATGGGATGATGAGAAAGTTCTGTAACCCTGTCAAGGCCGATCTGAAGTGTGGTGGTGTGCAAAGCAAGTAATGCAGGGGATTTACACTCAGACTTCTATGCAAAATTGTGATAGCCAAGTCCATTTGTTAGGTAACACTCTATGTTCTCTTCTTCACCTGTGTTGATTTACCTTAGTTGCAAAACAAGACACAAAAAGAAACAGGCTTTTATGTACCTGAGATCTTGCTGTGCTATTCCATTGATGTCACTGCAGACTGGGTTTTTTGAACAATATCTCTCATTAGCGCCATGGGAATTGATGGAACGTTTCCTGCACTAAAATAATTGGGAAAGACAGGGCTTGTAACTGTCCATCTGCATGTGTGTGCCTTCATCCCATGTATTAACACAAATATGTTAAAAAACTACAAGTGGTGCAACATTCAGAGTTGGAATTCAGCTTACCTGGACCTCCATGTCAAAATGAGGATACATGGATCTAAGTTTGACCCATTTCTTTCTCTCTTGGAGGCAGAAGAAGGCCAGGAATGAGCTCTTGCTCATTTTTTTTTCTAACGTTGGCTGAGTTTTTTTTAAAATTCCCAGCCAGTTCTACAAGAGGAAATCTGGTGTTGGTTTTGCTTTAACCAAATCTCAATTACTCACATATGAAGCTGGCAGAAAAATTGCCACCACTAGTTTGTTTGTTGTTGTTTTTTTCTTTAATTTCCATGAGAATTTTCCATTTTTACAGAAAATGCTTGGGTTTTCATTAAAAAATCTGAAAACAGGGACATTTTTGGTTTTCATAATTTTCAGTGAAATCATAAATCATTCAGTAAAAATGGGGAAACACCTTTAATACAAATAATCTTGAGGGGTGGAGGGGTGAAATATTTCCTGACTAACTCTAATCAGGAGTTTGCTTTCTAAAATCTGTTCTGCTTTGAGATCAGGTGATTGGGCCAAAGGATTCCTCTCTTGTCCTATTCAGAGTCTGAAGCAATAGAAAACAGAACTGATAAAACCATGGAAGTTAGAAGTGGAAACGACCATGGGTCATCCAGCCTTTCTCCTTGAGGCTAATGCAGGCATATTTTGCAAGGTGGATTTGCTAGTGTTAGTACATCTTGACTAGTGTTAAATGGAAAACAGGAATGGTGAAGTTCTTTGGGGAATGTAATAGTCCTAAATCTTTGCAGAAGGGTCAGTCTGTTGTAACTGTGATGATCCAGGAGATATGTGAGAAGGAACGTTTGCTTGGAAATATCTTTTATTGGACCAGTTGTACAGTTAGGAAATTGTTAGACAAACTATTGGGCACAAAAGAAGGGCACTTTGTGCTCCAAAGCTTGTCTAACATCTCTCCTAACTTCTTCTTCAGCAGTCCCTCACAGGTGAGGATGATTGTCTTCCATGAATGTCTTACCTGTGGGTCCAAAGACGGCTGATGAGGTCAATCCAGGATATACAGTTGGTTCAATAAAAGAGAGCACCAAACAAACCGTGTTAAATCGTTCTGCAATTTGTCTCAGGTTGATGAAGCTGCTCTTTTGAAGCGATACAAGCAAGGATGGCTGATGGAAATCACAGATAGCTTGGACCACTGCATTGCTCTGCTCAGGTATGGCACATGAAGCACTTTACTGATCTGTTGGGATTTTCTGGGTTCTCTAAATGCTCATGAGCTGTGTGCAGGGGGGCGGAGAAGAATTGTAGGGTATCTGTCCTCAGCCGTCTTCTGCTGTTAAATATGTGATGCCTTCATCTATGACTTGTTCCAGCAGCTGTCATCAGTAGTAAATACAATTGCACTAATGCCCCTTATAATCTGCATTGCAATATGTGAAATTGATCTTTATTTAGATCCATTACTGTGCATAAGGCAATTACAAATAACATTAAATTTGAAAAGTTACTCAAGCCTTCTAGACTGGCGCACTTACAGCAGGGAAAACAGAGCAATTTCAGTATACTACCTGTTGACTCAATATATCCAAGCTCTTTGTTACTCCAGAGCTGCCATTTGGAGTTCAGTGGATGCAGTTCTGATTAGTACCAGGGTAAATGAAGGAGAATCAGACCCCTATTTTAGAAATTCAGCACATAAATTCCTAGTATTGTTATTAACCCCCTTCTAGAATCAGAATCCTGTTTAGTTTCTATTCAGCAGTGTCCATAATCTATTTTGACCACATATATTTTCTCTGTTATTTGAGCCACTGCTTTGGTTGTGTATATATGGTTTGTAAACTACAGCTATGCAGATGATGAATTTTCTTCACCTCATCCATTTTTATTCAATTATAGAAATGGACGAAAGAACAAAACCTCCCTTAGCTTGGGTTACCATGGGAATGTGGTAGATCTTTGGTAAGTACCAAATGGTAGACACTTTAGTATATGGCATTTTTCCTGGCTAGTTAGCATGGAATCAATTCCCAGACCTGGAGCATTGACCTTTCAATCAGATGTTAAATCAAGACCTTTACTCTTGATGATCATCAAAAATCCCACTGTTCGTTTTGCCATAGGAGGCATATTAACATTGGTGTCCAGATTACAAATAACAGAATTACATTTTGCCAATCAATATACTCTCTGCAGCCACCACTTGATAAGGAATTTCTTCCTTTTCCCTTCTAAACCTTTACTGTTCTTATATGAAGAACATGGCTTTAGTTTTGAACACAACTAATTAAAAGTGACATTAACCAGTATCTTAATAGAAGATGAATCCTTAGTTATTGGAAAACAGAAAATTCTTCTGCTTTTGTTGCCGGTGATGGCAGCAGTCCCTTGATACGAGGATGACAGTCTTCCACTAAATAGGGAAGTCATTGGTGAGTCCGTAGATGATTGAGAAGACTGATCTGAGATTCCTGTTATTGACTGCAGACATGGCAGATAGTTCTGGGAGGGAGGAGTAGATCCTGGTGATGTCAGGTCACAGCTCTTTCCCATTATCTCTTTCATCTATCCTTCTCCATAGTGAGGTGAGTTTGCTTGAAATGACTGATGCCTTGTCAGGCATCACAGTGCCATTGAAGATGATTCAGTGCTTGAGACTCCCAGGTATTGATGCTAATATGGCAAGTGCCATGCCAAGAGCCATAAAACAAAAGACTTTGGCCACTCCTGGGGCATACTTATAATGATGTAGGGAATCTTTAGGGCTACTAGTGGGAACTCCTAACTGGTATTTTTGGTGCCTCTGATACCTAGGATGAGGAGAGGTAGATCTGTCTGGCAGTGGCAGACACCAGCTAAGTGTTTTATGTCTTATCTTTTCTACACACAGGGAAAGGCTTGTCTATGAACTTGATACAACAGGAGAACTGCTAGTTGATCTAGGGTCTGACCAAACCTCGTGCCACAATCCATTCAGTGGAGGATACTACCCTGTGCAGCTCTCCTTTGGGGAAGCAAACCAGCTCATGTCTGCCGATCCAGGGACGTTCCGTGCCTTGGTGCAGGAGAGGTAAATGGTGGACCTTATTTCCTATTGGAGTCACCAGATGGTTGGCCTTTTCCATATGATGCACAGCATCAGTAGCCAGATTCTGCTGTCAGTGATGTCAGCGCAGATCTGGAGTACTATCATTTAATTTACACTGATGTAATCCTGATATTTCCTGTAGAGCAGCTGTGCATTCACACTCTGATAGACTCCATCCCACAGAATCTGAGTCTATCATGTAGTCTGGTCCCTTTCTCTGCTACTATACCATGACACACTGTTGTATAAAGACTAAGGTCTGAACATATCTGCTGTAATTCAGTTACACAGATTACCTGGCATGTGAGGTCAAAGGCCCACTCAAGCTGAGCGGCTCATTAGGCTGATGTGGGTAAAGCATGCCAGTTTTGGTAGCCAGCAGCACACAAGGGAGTGATGTGGCCAGTCTCACACTGAATTGCCTTTGACTCCTTTGCCCAATGACAAGCCACCCATTTACAGCTGGAGGATGGCCTTTAGCATAAATCCAGAGCCAGAAACATAGTCACACCTCTAGAACTCTAATAAGACACTGTAACCACCCTCTGTTGCAAATCTGCTTTGAGACCTGTATTTTAATCCAAGAAACAGGAGGAAATTGCAGCCAGTTCAAAGTAGAAAGGTGTGTTTTGATGGTTTAGCATAAAGGCAACAGAGTGGAAACCTGCAAAGATCTCCTAGGAAAGAAGGAAGTCAGAGGGAGAAGAACCTGTTTCATTAATTTTTTGAATTTTGATCTAGAACCAAGTTAGCAAATGGCTTTACAGGAAGTGGATTTTATTTTTGTGTACCTTAGAAATGTAAGAGTCCCAGCTGTATTGATTTTGACCCTCAGCCAATAGCTAAGGTTTTGTAGTCTATAATCACCAGAACTAGAAATTACAGAATGAAGTTATAAAGATTGGCAGGGCTAGCTCCTCTTCTCCTGAAGGTTTCAGATCTCTGATCCAGAAATAGGGGAAAGGAAGTGTGATGACAGTGTAGGGATGCCTGGCATCTTCACCAGTGAGAGCTTCCAGCTGTGTTACAAGAGGAAGGCAGTAGCAGTACTAGCTTCGAGGTTATGTCTCAGATCTTAGGGAACTGAGTTGACTCTGTATTGGGATGAGAAACCTATGGGCAGTTGTGTTAGTAATTCAGTAAGTAATGCTTTTCTGGGCCAGTATTTAAGCAGTACCTCACCTTGTTGCTAGGTTCTGTTGTGCTGCTACAGGACGTCTTTTTTCAGATAAATGCACTTGCAGTCATTGAAGATCCATTGGCAATTTTTATAATAGCCTTGGTGTTGCCTGTGGTGGGCCAGTAGGGGCCAAGCTGCCCACCTCACTGCGCCCAACCAAAACCAAGTTTTGGATGCCTCCCCAGGGGCTCCAACTCCTGGCCAACCCCCTTCCTGGAGCACACCCACAAGCCTAGGGTAACCGCTGCCACCACCCAAGCTCCAGTCTCTGTTAGGGCTCTGTGCCGCTTGGGGTACACAGGCCCTGTAGACCTAGGGGTTGCTTAGCCCCAGCAGGATATATTTGGGTGCTTCTTATAGCCTGAAGCATAGAAAGTGGCCTCCCTTAGTCAGCCGAGCAAAGGGAGCAAAAAGGCTTGCCCAATCCCTCTCAAACATTTACAGTCAGGCTTGCTATAATAGATAGCTTTATTGCTTGGAGAGGGAAGGCACAGGGAAGGAATACAAACCAAAAAGACTTCTGAAAGAAAATAGCCTTGAGCAAAACAGTATAAGTGGCTCATTGGTCCTTGTTGTATGTGTCTAGAACACTTGTATTTATGTTACTGGCTACAATTCAGATACGTTATTCACAGCAACGTCCAGAGGAGGCTGGAGGTACATAGCTTGATTCTCTGAGTCCAGAAGATGTCTGCCCCCCACAACATGGAGAGACCCTCTTGAATAGCCCTACTGACCTCATCACCTGGACTCAGTCAGAGACAGGGGTTATTTGATGTTGACCAATCAATTTGAAAAACATCAGCGTTACCTATGGGAGTGACATTAGCTAAAGCCTAGCCCCCATGTCATGTGGCCAGAACTGAGAACAATGGAGACGTTCAATCCTCCCCCTCCTACCTGAGATAGGTCATGGAGGCCTTGGCAACCAGGTTGCCAGACATGTGAAAAGACAAAGAAAGAGAAAGAAAGAAAAAAGAAACCTAAGTGAGGGAGCAAAGCCACAGGCCCTAGAAGTTTTTTTGTCATGTTGCCACGGCCATATTTTTAATGAGCTACAATACCCACCTTTTCCTTCTCTGAATTCACCTCTGTAGTTTCAGTTAGTTATGGTGCTATTCTATACATCCTCTCCTAAGCCAGAGAGCAATGTTGATATTTGATGTTAAATCACTGTCCTGCTCCAAAACAGAGCTGGCTACATTTTTAGGGAGAGGAATTGACCCCTGTAGATTACTTATCCTAGCTCAGAGCAATGCTCTGAAGTTCGCTCCATGTCTACAATCTGCTGTGAGAACCTGGGAAAACATGAGCTACAAAGATGGAAAGATGTTTTGTGAAGGCTGGTGGATTTAGACAATGGGTTGAAATCCAGCTGTTCCTCCCCACCCATTTCAGAGCCCAAATCCCTGTGTTTGCATTGCATCATCATGCCATTAACCCATTATGTACATTTCAAAGCTATTTTTTTCCCTTTTTATTTTCAGTTTGAGGAGACAAGTAGCTGCTATAAACAAACTGTCTGATAAGGGCATGTTTTTTTGGGACTATGGCAATGCCTTCCTCTTGGAAGCTCAGAGAGCTGGTGAGTAGATAGATGCTGTCTTTCCTAGATTAAACTGTGTCAAGTTCTCTGTTCTCCTGTGAGTGAAGCGTATTAGACATGGGCTAAATGCCACTTTGCACTTAGTTGTGTGCATAGCACAAACAGTAAACACCAGTGGCCAAGCTTTCCACAGAGAACGCTGCTTTCTGTTGGCACAACTTGTACCAGCAATTGAACTGGAATTCGGTCTGGATACCTTCACCTTTTGTTCTGCAAAATAAAGTCCTGATCTTGTATCTTCCTCTGTGCATGGGGATCCCTTTAGTTCATAAAACTGTGTGTGGGCACAGGGGGGCCTGCAGAAAGATGTTTGCAGAATCGGGGCCAAGAAACAAGCGTGTGAGGCAGCTCTGGGTTACAGAACAAATTGTAGGTATGTGGCCAGCCCACCTTTTCCTCCCTTCTGAGGGCAGGGACAGCTTCTGGCCTCATGATAATGAACTGGGAGAGCTGGATGGTGGCTTAAAGCCATCCCTACCCTCCTGTTCCTGGGGCTGAGGCTTGCTGTGCAGCACGATCTGGGTTTTGGATCACGGTTAGGACTTCCTTGTGTGGCTTGGAAAAGGCAGGATTGCTTTCTTTTACCAGGTGCCATTTTAGATCTACAAAATGGAATGATCAAAAAAGCAGCTTACAAGAAGGAGCAGGGGTTGGCTTGAGAGGGCTTCTCCCAGTGACCACCCCTGTTGTCTGCCGTGACTTTGTTTGGCTGAATTCAGCTGTTGCTGCCATGCTTTTGTTCCTAATTTTCGTTCTTCTGACAAGAGTGATTTTAAAAAATAAAAGCAATGGTAAAAGCCCTCAGTGTTACATTGAAGGTTGCCCAGCATTTCTCAGGAGAGGAAGATGGTTCTGGCCGTGTGTCAGTTTGGTCCCTTACTGCAGTGATTCTCAACCAGAGTACCAGGGCTGTACAAAGCTTTGGGTGCTGATTCAATTCAGAGGAGATGCGGCCCAATTTGGTGGCTGAATCTCTGAATCTGAATCAAATCAGGGGACCAATTAAAAGGTATGAATTGATTTGAAGCTCTCCGAACAGATTCGGAAAAGCTTCAGAGAGCTTTGGTGATTCAGGCAGTCCCTGCCCGCTGCAGCAGGGAACTGGACCCGGCTCTGAGCTGGTAAGTAGGGGTGGGGGATGGGGGGGCTGGAGGAGGAGGGACCATGGGGGGACCCCTGCCAGACCCCATCCCCTGCCTGCTCCCCTAGGTCCCCCAACCCCTGCCTGCTCCCCCCAGCACCTTCCCCCCCCCCATGGCTGCCTTGCCTGCCCCAGCTCCTGGTGCTTTAAAAAAAAGCCCCCACTCACCAGCTGCTGCCGGGGGGGGGTTGATCCCCACTGCCCCGTACTGCCCCATTCTGCATGGGGGGCTCTGCCATGGCTCCCCCCAACTCCTGCTCACTGTCCGAGCCTCGCCGTGGCTGCCTTGCCTGCCCCAGCTCCTAGTCCTTTAAAAAACAACAAAAACCCTGCACTCACCAGCTGCTGCAGCAGCCTTGGGGCTGCTGGGGGCATGTGGCAGAGCCCCCCATGCATCAGGGGGCAGCGGGGATCGCCCCCCCACCTGGCAGAAGCCAGTGAGTTCAGGGTTTTTGTTGGTTTTTTTTAAAGGGCTGGGAGCTGGGGCAAGAGGGGCAGCCATGGGGGGGGCTAATAGAGGGCGGGGTTCAGGGGGCTTGTGACAGAGCCCCCCATGCAGCGTTGGGCAGCGGGGGGCTGCAGGGATCGCCCCCACCTGGCAGCACCTGGTGAGCGCCGGCTTTTTTTCCCCAAAATGCCGGGAGCTGGGGCGGTTGGGGCAGCCATTGAGAGCAGGCGGGGGATGGGGCCTGTGTGATTTGGAGATTTGGCTGATTTGGCAGCAGCCAAATCTCCGAATCAGATTTGGCCGAATCAATTTGGGACAGCGATTCGAATCACCAAAAGGAAAGAGCTGGTGTTTTCCAAGGGGTGCATTGAGTCTACGAAAGGTTGAGCAACACTGCTCTAGGCTGTGATCAGCCTGTACTGTTCCCTTTGTGGTAAATACCATAGCAAAGGAGAAGAGGAGAGAGCCTCTAGAGGTTTGATGTCTCTCTCATGTGATTCAGTTTGGTGGACTTTGAGAGATTTTCAGGTCTCCATGGGACACCCAGTTGGACTTTTCACTAGCCCTAGGAGGCTTATAGAATATTATATGGGAGGCAGTGGCCATCCATACAGAAGCCTTGTGCCTCTCTACTGATTTTGGAGAGGCCAGTCCTGCTCTCTGACAAAGTAGGGAAGGATGGTCTTGGTCCTAATTCTGTAGTATAGCTCTGGGGGTGCAGCTGGCCCCATTCTCTGTCATTATTTGACCACCTGCTGCCCTCCCGTGGTCCGCCTAGTCCCTGATCCTCTCTCTAAGTGGCATACTGTGAGAAGGAACATGGAGAAGGAAGGGGCTGTCAAGTAGATGTCTGTGTGGCAGGCATTGATCTGGGCAGGGAAGAACCTCTTTGCTTATGAGCTAAGGGCACAGTCTAGCCTTGAACTTACAGCTTTTCTCCTCAAATAATCTGCATTTCAATTTCTTTTGCAGGCGCTGATGTTGAGAAAGGAGGAGCCAATAAAACTGAATTCCGATACCCTTCCTACGTTCAGCACATCATGGGGTAAGTTGGAGAGAGCAGGGCACTTGGAGCTAGAATCTCTTTTTGTGTACCATAGATTCAGACCCATAAACTGGGTTGCTTCATAGAAGGATCAGAAAATAAATGAGTTAGGAGATTCTACTTTTCTGGGGAAATTCCTGCATAATCCCATAGACAAGTAAAAGGCAGTGGTGTGGAAGCTAGCATTTACATAGGATTTCCAGGACCATCAGGTCCCAGTTCTACTCTTGGGTATACTATCATTGCCCGGGCATGGATTGAACATGTATTTGCACCTAGTGTAGCTAAGAAGGTGTCTGGGGGCTGGAACAATGCAAAACAACCAGACAGGGCTGAAGAACTGGCCTGTTGACTCTGAATTTAGTGGTGTTATTCCTCATGTATATCAGTGTAGGAGAGACAAAATCAGACCCAAAAGTACATCTGCTCTGATGAATACAAGCAGGACTTGGCTCCCAAAGAGTTTGGTAATTCTGGAAAGTCTGTGTGTATGGAAAGCAGAGCTGACACTGCAGCAATTTGCAGACAGATTGGCCAAGTGCCGCTACTTTGTAGGGAGACTCATTCTGTCGTGCCTCAGTAGAAGACAAAGGAGCTGCATTCTCCAGCCCTGTAAGTGCAAAGTAGGATAAAGGACTACTA